CAAGCCTCTGGGATCATAGGCATGTTCCACTGTGCCTGGCCAGCTTTATTCTTAATAAATAACAAACCAAAAGTATCTTAGATGTCTTTCATCAGGGTGATAGAATACTTACTTGCTCAGCAGTTAAAAGTAATGAATTACTGATACACACCACACGGGAGAATCTCCAGGCAATTACACTGAATTAAAAAAAAAATTCCAGCACTTTAGATGCTGTGTATTTCCATTATGTAACATTTCAAAGTGATGAGCTGTAATGACTAAAGAGCAGATTGATGAATGCAAGGCTTAGGGGTGGGTGTAGGCGAATTGGAGGGAGATGGGTATGTAGCGGCACTCCCTCCTCCACAAAAAAAAACAACAAACAAACAAACAAACAAAAAAAAAACTTAAGCTTCTCCAGAAATCTTCACCATAATTGATTTTAAGACTATAACCAAGAGAGTCTCTACAAAAAAGTTCAATGTAGTTAAAATTCCTATTTTCCTGTTGCTCTATTTTATTTGGCCACTGGCTGGAAAGAAATCAGCACTCCAGGTGCTGAAGGCCCCTTTACTTGTTTTTCACAAACATGTATTCAGTATAGTAATTTGTAGAAGTGTGTTTGCAGGGGCTGGGGTTGTGGCTCAATGGTAGAGCACTCACCTAGCACGTGCAGGGCGCTGGGCTGGATCCTCAGCACCACATAAAAATAAAATAAAGGTATTGTGTTCAACTACAACTAAAAACAAAATATTTTAAAAAAGAGAGAAATATGTTTGCAAATGCAAAATATGATAAAAAGAAGAAAGATCCTTTAAGCAAGGCCTCTCCTTGAGCTGGGCTTCACAGAGGTGTCTACATTTTTAAGATAAGAGAAGTTACCAACTGGGCTCCATAGTAACAGCTGGCAGGGGGAGGAAAGAAAGGGGAGAAGTTTTCCCCTTCTCAGGTGTTGTCCTTGAAGGGTTAACTTGCCCAAAACAGTGAAAGAAAAAGAAAAATGTGAACTTCTATAAACTGTGAACTTCTGAGCCCCTCCCCTTACATTCTGGGTATAAAATTCTGAAACTACCTGAACTTGGGGTTCAGGGGATTGATTGATTTCAGCCAAAGCTGTGCCCTCTGAGCCTGGATGCAGGCAAATAAAACTGTTTTCTGCTGTCTTTCGTACCTTGCCTCGTCTGTCCCTAAAATAGGTATGAGATGTAAAAGGGCAACACGAGGGATACCTTGGTGATGGAACTGTTCACTGTCTTGACTGATGATATCATACATGGGGCAAAATTGTCTAGAATGAAATCTAATATAAAAATGAATACAGGAAAAACTCAGGAAATTTGGATTGTGTTAAAATCATATCCTAGTTATGATGCTCTCCTAGTTTTGCAAGATGCCACCAGTAGGGTGAAACAGGCAAGGCCTACAAGGAATCTCTCTGCATTATTCCTTACTTCATAATCTACAGTGACTTTGATCAAAATTGCATTAAAAATCAAACTGGAGCCAGGTGCGGTGATGCACTCCTGTAATCCCAGTGGCTCGGGAGGCTGAGGCAAGAGGATGGCGAGTTCAAAGCCAGCCTCAGCAATGATGAGGTGCTAGGCAACTCAGTGAGACCCTGTCTCTAAATAAAATACAAAATAGGGCTGGGGATGTGACTCAGTGGTTGAGTGCCCCTGAGTTCAATCCCAGGTACACTTCCTGGCAAAAAAATCAAACTGGGGTAGTGAGGGTAGGGTAACCAGTGTACTGGGAACAAGGAAGACTCCCTTTGGATCCAAATGGAGAAGGAGGAGATGGCCTCTGTAGAGGAAGCCCACATGGAGAGTCCTTGAGCAGGAGCTTGGTCATTCAGAAGAAGGAAACAGAAGCAAGAGGGTGGTTGGAGGATGCCTGAAAGAATCTATGTGTGAAATTCTCTCACAGGTTGCCTGGCTATTTCTCCACCAAGTACTTTTCCTAAGCTGGTTTCCAGCACTTCCAGAACATGATCAGCAAATTCTTTAGTTTATGTCAACACACCCTTGAGGATTATCTGTGACAACACAGTATTAAGAGTTAAATAATCTGAATTATCTTTTTAAAAAATAACCATAAAGCCAGGCACCATGGTCCATGCCTATAATACCAGCAACTTGGGAAGCTAAGACAGGAGGATCACAAGTTTGAGGCCAGCCTCAGCAATTTAGTGAGGACTTAAGTAACTTAGAGAGATTCTGTCTTGAAATAAAATAAAAAGGGCTGAGAACATAGCTCAGTGGTAAAGCACCCATGGTGCTTCCCAAACCAAACAATATAACAAAACAAAACCCTAGCCATAAAGGAGGCATCTCAAGGTACTAAATAGTTGTATATAATGAGTGAGTTAACAGGAAGCTGATGTGTGACAAGATCTGTCCTATTATAACACACTTTTGTATTGCATCTGACCCTCTGCTATCCTGGAAGAGCAGCACTATTCCCTTTTCATAGACTGGGTGGCTCAGCTTCATTAATTTAAGTCATCAAAATGCAACCTGACCAAGGACACCAATGTCATCTCACGTGAGGGAAAGGCCTCCAATCTGAAATGAACTCTCATTACTTGTGGGTGGAATTTGCGGAGAATGTCAGGCTGAGATAATAGTGTTTAGAATGGAAACACTACTCAGGTAGAAAAGTGTGTGGAAATCCAGATGCAGACAGAGCGTGTAGCAGCAAGGATGAAAGGAGGTGAGGGTACAACTGGCTTCCCAGACCGGACAGTTCCCAGAGGCCCTGAGTGAGAAATGCTGCATCAAGACAGCTCCTCTTCCAAAGGTGAATGAATACCCAGAAGGCAAGAAGATGTCAGCCCTCAGTGCCCACCCATTCCTGGGTGGGTGTTTTTTGTTGAAAATTCTATCACCTCTTCCTTTTCTGTAAACATGAAGATGATCTGCTAGAGCAGTCTCTGCACACATTCACTTCAGGTTCAAATATGCAGACGTAAACATGGGAAATCCTCCCATGCAACCAGGGAATTTGATGCTTCATTATGAAGTAGGCTAGAAGAAAAATTTTTTTTAAAAAAATTAGGTAGAAAGGAGACAAAAGCTAGAGCAAGTAAATATAATTTGTTTCTACAAAAAGAAAGTATCACTGCTCCTTCTCTCTTCCAGACAGTCTCCCTTCCAGAACAGTCACTCCGACTTTACTGAATTAAATTTACTTACTTATAAAAATTACCTTGTGCACTGTTAAATAGTTCTTGTAATAAATAGGTTAAACGAAGATATGCACAACATTTTAAGAAGCTTGTAATTTAGGGGACTTTCCAATGTTATCTACCAGATCAGACCATAGAGACCATGTGAGCCCAAGGATTCTGAGAATGACCAGACTGATGTCATCCTCACATTCCTTCCTATACCCATCCCTCGCCAAGTTTCCTTTGAAAAAAGAGCCTGAGGACCCACAGTGTCTCTCACTCTCCAGATGGACATCATTCTCCTTTGAATGTGCATTCCATGCTTTATTCCATGACATTTCTCTCTTGAGATTGTCCCCACTCTCCTTTGAATATGTATCTGCTTTCCTAAATAAACCTCTGTGTCTCTGAAGGGCAGAGTGCTGAAATAAATTATTTTCCCTAATATACACCAAGCCTTTCCTGGTGACAATCGGATTGGCCAGGCGTCTCAGGGAACATACCTGTCACTGTGAGCCTCTCTGAACTGGGGTGTGGGTCCAGGCTGAGGAGTTGAGTATAATACAGTAAACTTACCATGGTCTCCCAGGAGTGAGCCTCTGAGCTGGGGTTTCAGTTCCTGATGCATACAGTCTGAAAATTGCTGTGTATGTCAAAAAGGCACGTGCCCTTCTGCATGCAAAGCAGATGGACCTTTGCCACTCCATTCGATATCATGGACAATAAAACTGCTGGGTGCGACCCACTCAGTGGTCTCATGATCTACTACTGAGGCCAGCTGGCTGTTTAAAAATAACTATTCTTTAGTCTGTACTCAAGGAGGAATGTTCTAGAAACCTTGGGGGTTTCTGCCCTCTCTGGGATGCAGAGGCCTTCTGGTAAACTAGGTTTGCTCTCTGCTGTATGTGGCTGACATGGGGTTTTTCGGTGAGGCTTGGAAATGCTCAGATCCCGTCTACAAAGTTTTAACTTGGCAAACAATTTGATTTCTGAGTTCCCTGCAGCCTCTTGGAAATGAAATTTAAAAGAGCCCTTCATCTCGCCAGGAGGAAACTTTCAGATTCCAAGAAAATAATGGATGTGCTGGGCTGCTCTCAGCCCCTCTTCTTCCCCAGGCTTTTCATCCTCTTGCCTGTTAAGGAAGCAGATAGGGAAGTCTCCCAGCCTCTCTTTCTCTCTGTGTATGTGTGTTGGTGGAGGGTGTGTGTGTAGAGGGGCAGGCTGGCTTCCAGGGCAGGATAGAGTTTGAAGTACAACTTTGCCAGATTAGTTTGTTACTCTGAATCAATGAATCACTTCTCTTTTTGGACAAACTCTTTCCTGGCTTTCCCCCAACTACTGGGGAACTCTCAGGATCAGAAAAACTCCAGAAAAAGAAAAAAAGGGTATGAGTGTGTACACATAGCTAAAAATGACCCAGCCACACATTCCTGACTGCCAACCCAAGGCAGTTTCACACAGACATTTCTCTCTGGCATCTTCTCTCAGCTAGTACCTGCTGGAGGGGGGTCACCTCTGGATAGATAAGGTCCCTGGCACTAGCCTGTGACAATAGGTAAGCACAGAGCCAATTCCAGCCAAGTTTCCTACAGGCTGCAAAACAGGTAGAACAGCAGTTGGTAAGATTGTATCTGTAGTACATAAGTGACTTAATGAGTAATAAGAATGGCTCCTGGTTACCTAAAACTGCCCAAACGCCCCCAAAGAAGAGAAAACAATAGCGGGCGTATGTGCCAGAACAAACTTTCCCGCCCTGGCACGGGAGATGGGGAAGTCACTTAAGGTCCGGGCGGGGCATGTTTTGTAAGGCGGGCTCAGGGGCGCGGTCAGCCTAGCCCGCTGTCTGCAGGGGCGGACTGGGTCAGAACCCTACTGTGACCTCCAGGCGTCACTTGTGGGTGACTGCCGCGAAGAGGGGCTCTCGTGGGCTGTGAGCTGAGATTCATCTCGCTCACCATTCCCTCCTTTAAGGAGTCCGGCGCATAGCCTCTAGACCACCGTCTGAGAGCCTTGTGCCATTGGAGCGAGGTCCTTGTCGCTCAAGTTGCTGTGCAAGGATAGCGCAGCTTGCGTAGCGGACCCAGGACAGACCCGTGAGTAGTCCGCCACTGGGTTCTGCATTCTGTTGCGGCTTTACCAGATACTTTCTGGTCCCCAGTCTTGGTAACGTTCCATTTACCTGTAGGCGAGGTGACTGAGGCTCGCTAGGATTCTGGCGATCAGTTGCAAAGAATGTTAAGGGAGCCGGGCTGCTGGGGAGGGTGCATCGTCCCAATGTGCAGATCGGTGAGCGCGCGCAGAAGAGGGCGCGCCCAGTCCACCCTCTGTCTCTCTCGCGTCTGGGCCACCAGCCGCTCGATCAGAGCGTGTGGGTCTCCTGGCGAGGATTCCACCTGGTGTGGCCGCTGAGAGGGTGGACGCAGCGCTCGCAGGTTTGGGTCCCGGAGGGTGCCAAGAGGTGATTCTCCACAAACTGGAACTTAGGCGGGAAGGGAGAGCGAGAAACCCCCAAACGGGCTTTCTTCCGGGCAGAAGAAAAAAGTTGGTAATATCAGTTACGAAGTGATGTTTTGTTTCCCAACTGCCTTTTCGTGGGGAACAAAAGATAACTTTTCATTTTGTAGATTGAACCTTCATCGTTCAAATGGATTCAAGTATACATTTTTTTTTTCAACATTTACTAGAATGTCAACGCATAAATGTTGGCATCGAGTTGTCTGGCAGCTCCACAGAGAAATTTTAGTCATACTTGTTAAATGACACAAATTAATTTGCATAGAGGAGTGCGTCCCTTTATAATTCTTTTACATGGCAACCTTTTCTAAGACCTGGCAGGGCCCAGAATGGGGGAAAGGGTTCCACAAACCGGCTGGCCATTAGCAGAGCTCCTCTTTCCACTTCAGGGTTTGATCTCTTGACTCGTGGGTAATGCATCCGAAGCCTTCCGCCTCGACCTGACCACCTGTTTCCTGCCTTCCATTACAGAGCTCTGTCTGCATCGAGCTGCTTGCTCCCTTCTGACGGTGAGTTACAGAGAAACACCCTGTAAGTGTGTGGAGGGGGGCATTTCCCTTGAAGGCAGTGGAGGCTATCTTCAGGAGTCTGGATGACATTCATCTCTCTCTTCTTTTGTTTCCTTTTTTCCACCTTCCCCCTTTCATCCTTTCCTCAGTTTCCTCTTGCTGATGCCTTCTGTGTTATAAAGACCATTGGTTCCATTCTTAGGCTGTGACCTTGGCTTTTAAAAAACTTGGTGACTTCTTGAATAGAAGGAATGCCTTAAGCTGGGTATTTGCAAGCCCTGCTGGGCCATTCCCAGGGCTTGCCATTGTCGGTCCTGCCTTTCAATTTGTTCAATTTGTGCTCCAACTGTGTTTTGGCTCAAGCCTCCCCCACTTCTCAGCCAATTTTCCATTATTTCTTTCCCTTGTTTTCTTCCACATAAGTCTCATTATTTCAGATATCTTTAGTTCATTGCACATTTATTGAGTACATGGTTCTGGTACTTTCAGCTTTGGTGGGCATTAAAGTAATGTTTTAGGTAAACATAAATTCATTTTTGTATACATTGGCTTTTTGTCAAAGTGCACATTTTGGTTGGACTTACTGAACATGAATTAGTACAACTTTATTGTAAAAAGAATAAAAACAAAACCTAAATATGAAACTGAAAGTAAAACTTGGGATTTTCCTACTCCCTAGAAATAAACATTGAACACTTGTGCTTTTCTTTCCTCCCTCCCTCCTTCATTTCCTCCTCCTTTTCTTGCTCCTTTCTCTTTCTCACACACACTTTTAAAGTAAATCCATTTCAAAGAAGTATTATAAGTGTTTATATACTAAGCTATTTACACAAATAGTCTACCAATCTGATCTTTGTTTAACGGATTAAAATTTAAAAGAACCTAAAAAAAAAAAAAAAAGAGTTGGGCCTGGCCACAGGTAGGGGAGTCCAGGTGGTCAAGGGGAAGGGGCCTCCCTGGGGAGACCAAGAGCCATGTGATTGAGTCTTTTACCTAAAGCTCCATCCTTGTTCCACATGCCAATCCAATAACGAGGACATGGTTTTGAGAAAAAGAAAAAGGAAGTTTTATTGCTTTGCTAGCAAAGGATCACAGGGGTACTTCTGACCCAGAGGCTGTGATTCTGCCATGAGGGGGAAGGGGGGGCTTTTAAAGAGGTGATTCAGAGGGTACATTCCACGTGTTCTGTCTGAAGTTGTTAATTTGGGAGATAGTTGTTTATGAGATCTTTTGGTGCCATCTCCAAATTTTCTTCCTATGGTGAGTGTGTGCTCAAGGACAGATAACTGTGCATAGGATGGGAAAGAAAGGTAATCCTGTTTCCCCTGAGAATAGGGAGGAGCAGGCAGAAAAGAAGAGAAAGAAACATGTCTGTTTTTAAAATAAGTTGCAGTGGCAGAGCAGCAAAACATAAAGTGGATCAACTGTTACAAGTCCTCTGGGGGCAGATTCTACAGGTCCAGTGAAATTAGCACAGGCTCTGCTTGTGTGGAGAACACATCTGGGGCCTGGATGGTTACAGACTTGTCTAGAAGAAATGGGAGGTTTCCCTCCCTCTGTGAAGTGGAAGTTGAGAGTATCATGACATAATGTTAGAAGAAATGTTTCTGAAGTCCACCCAATGTGACATCTTCTTGAAGCACTAAGGTTAAATTTACCTACTGAGCAGTTTTGGGGGTCTTTGGAGAAGTGACCAGTTCTCCAGGTGCTTTGGATGAAGGGTGGAGGTGCTGTCAGGACCTCCGATCAGATGACCCTGGACTGTTGTTGAGTTAGGCCATATTTTTAAAATTGTTGCTCTGTGGTGTCAGGACCCTGCTCTGACCATTCTCTTCCCTTGGTGATCCTTTGTCCTGCCTTTCAATTTGTTCAACTTAGCCCTGGGCTTTCCTTAATTGTAGATTCCCTGGATCCATAATTTCTACCTGCACTGTTAATTGTAATCTAACAAATGCTTGCTGCCTGATATGCATTGAAGCCTCTACTATGACCTGGATTTTTGTGAAAAGAAAAATCTTTTTCACATGGTGACTGGCAAGGAGGCCCATAATCTACCTCCTCCATGGGTTGATAATGGGGGAATTTATCTAAATGGAGGGAGGAAAGCTGCTTTTGGTTAGGCAAAAAGAGGAGTGCATATTTATTTTAGGTGCTCTTGTGTTCTATGCAGGGAATTTTGAGCTTGTGTCATCATTGACTGGAAGATCTGACGTCCACGGAAGACCTTCATGTCCATTCTAGAAAATTGGGGTCCAGTTTGTAAACATTATTAGTAAAAGACTGGAGGCTCTTCTGGAGGTGGGGCTGGGGGAACTTAATTTAAGGAATCTATATGTCCAGACCTTAGCTGATTTCATGTTTTCCCATGGCCAAATTCTCTTCTGTTTCAAACCTACTTTTGTTAATTTCCCAGGCTTCAGTTCCTCCATGGGGTGATGCCCATAGGTACTTTTTCTAGAATCGTGGCACTTCAAATGAAGTTCTGTGAGGATCTTACCTCAAAAACAGCACTGTCCTTTCCAACATCCCAACTAGGAGTGAAAGTGACCTCCTCCTAATGCCTCCTCCATTCATCCCTCAGGATTTCATCCCCTAACCCCTGTCCTATTTGGATTTTCACTTCTCCTTTCAGCTGTTGGTCATTTTGATATCTCTGCTTATGCTCTGTGCCCCTCAAATCCAATTGTGCTTTAATTATATGTGGGGAAGAAAAGAACTTTCTGTACCCTCTAATGTTCTGTTCCTAGAGGCCTGCAAATTAAACTGACAAAAAACAGATTAGCAGGAAAAAAAACAACAGATTTTTATTTCACATTGGTATGCAGAGTTCATAGAAAAGAAGTGACTCGTGGAAGTGGTTAGAATTTGGGGCTCATGTACTATCTTAGTAGTGAAGAAGGTCAGAGGAGCACTTCTGGGAGAATAAATGACTTCTGAGTTGAAGAGAAGAGTGCTTTTGGAAAAACAAAATGATTTTTTGAAAAATAAAAGGGAACTCAGGAAAATAGATGGGAGATATTTTTCTGATAGGTTTTTTTGTTTTGTTTTGTTTTTTTAATGTATGTTTGGACATTGTGTGAATTTTCTCTTAGAATTTCCCCCATGACAATTAAGTTGTTTTTTTTTTTTTGGGGGGGGGTTGTTTTTAGGCAAATAAAGAGATTTCAGAAACTCAGGTTTCTGCTCAAAATAATTTCTATACCCTGTGTTAATAAGCTTTCTGTCATTGTGACAAATACCTTAGATAAGTCATTGAGAGAGAAAAGGTTTATTTCTGTCTGGTGTGTCAGAAGATCCAGTCCATATGTTTCTTTGGGGCATAGTACACCATGGCTGGAGAGCCAGATGGACGGGGCATGTTCATCTCATTGTATCTGGGGAGAAAAAGAGACAGAAAGGAGGGGTCCAGGATACCAATATTCCCTTCCAGAGCGTGCCCCGAGGGTCCATTTGCCTTCCACTTGGCCCTGCCTCTTAAAAATTCCATTGCCTCCCTGTAGTGAGTGCCACAGGCTCAAGGATCAAGTCCTCAACACGTAGGTCTTTGAGGGACATTTCCCAGTTATAGCAGCCACAGTGGTTTACTCTGGACCCCTTCATATGGATCTGACATGCAAATCTTTGACTGTCATTTTCTGTTTAAAAATTTTCAGGGACCCACCATCACCTGAAGTGCAATGTTCAGGATTTTTATGGGGCTACACTACTTCCTGGGGACTTGGCCTTTGACCGTCTCTTGTTGCTTCTCTCCAAGCTGAGCTGTTGCTAGAGGATTTCTTTCCTCCCATCTCTTGCGTTCCCTGTCCTTGTGCCATTGTTGACACTCTTTTTCCCTGTCTGGGAGCATACTGACTCCCAGTCAAGAATCATTAAAAACTCTTGGCTGCCTTCTGGGAGCACACTGGGTTTGTGTTTGTTCTTTTCTGCTCTTTCCTTCATGGATAAAGTATGAACCTCTCATGGTGTTGGCAACTTCACTTGGCTCTCCCTTAAGTGGCCCTGTGTTGGAGTTAACTCCTGGCTTGCTGGGATTGTCAGACACACAGAGCACCAGATTTTGTGTCCTAGGTCTTTCTCATCCCTCTGTAGGTCACACATATTGTAAGAGTGAAGGGAAATCTCCCTTAACACCTCTCAGCATTCACTGTAATAAATTTAATTTTCACTGCTGAAAATTAAACAGGAGAAGTGCATTTCAAATGCCTCAAAGAAAGTACAGAACGGGGGAGTGATCCCAGGGGTGTATTTATACCTGCTTAACATTATTCACAAACATATACTCCTTTTTCTATGGGAGGGGCAGGAAGAAGGAGAATGTAGACAGTTTTGAGGGCTTATAAATGATTATTAGGGGAATGGATGGTCCTGGGAAGTCTCTTTGGAATTGGAATGAGCTCAAGAAACAGACATTATCTTGTAGAGGGAGGCTCCAGGTGTGGTTACATTCCTCAATTTCCTTAGCTAGATGATGCAATCTCACTGTGGGTTTGGAAGGTAGCTCTGTTTCCTTTGCATTCCAGTCTTTATGTACTAAGGAAACTCCATAGAGCCTTTGCCTGCACTTGGGGTCAGAGGAGCAAGACCGTTTAATTTTGTCTAGAGCAAAACTGCCCATGCTAAAAAACACCATTGTTCTGAGAAACCTAACAGTATCAAAGGAGATGCATTTTTAAAAAAAAAATTTTTATATTTATTTTTTAGTTTTAGGTAGACTCAATATCTTTATTTTTATGTGGTGCTGAGGATGGAACCCAGGGCCTCATGCATGCTAGGCGAGCACTCTACCACTGAGTCACAACCCCATCCCAAAGGAGGTGCTTTTATACCAGACAGACCCTAAACACTGCAGATACACAACAGGGGCCCAGGGCATGACCTGTCAACCTGTCAATCTCTCATTTATTTCATAGGAGTTTTCATATTCCTTCAGCGACTAAAGCAGGCAATGCTTAGTGCTTTCTGGTGTCTTACACTTAATAATGCCATTTCTAGTTATGCTACCAAAAGTACATGGTCACATGA